GAATAGCTTGGGAGCTCTTTTCCAGTGGTGGATAGAGAGCAGCTCCCCATACCTGCTTCAGCAGCAGCACTGAACCAGGCTTCAGCTCATTCTGGCGTGTTTCCAGCAGCAATCTGTGCAGTGTCCCCTGCATTTCTCCTGCAAATACCACATGGTCCAACAGTTTCAGGGTAAGGGCAGCATAGCAACTAGTCTGGGCCCTGATAGGGAAAGGGGCTGTTCACTGCTTCAATCTACCCATCTGTAAATAGACTGTGTGATTTCTCATCTCCTAGCCTCAATAGAGGCCACTCGTCAGACAATCCCAGGACCTAGTTCCTTACCAGTAGGGTCCTTGAAAACCACGCTGGCATCCATCGTGCTCCGGGTCAGAGACTTGATCATCACTGCCATGTTGGGGACCTTGTTTCTAGGAAGCTGCTTCAGGGCTGCCTGCTTGCAAGGAGAGGCACTCACAGAGCCAGCCATGGCCTCCCTGTAACTTCTCAGGTCCCTAAGTGTGCCAGGGCAACCAGGGGTCAGGAGGGGACAGTACAGGTGTGGTAATGACCTTCCTTGTGGAAGGCAGAGGGCCAGTTTGAAGGGCACATCCCACCTCTCTCTGGCAGAGAAGATGGCAGGGCCTTCATCTCTCCACTTGCCTCCTTCCTTTTGTGCATATGTATTTATAAAGTGTTCCTTCCTGGTAGGCCACAGGCAGAGACACATTGGCACAGGTACTGGCATCTATCTGCATATGGCCACTGACACTGGGGAGCCCTGACAATGGCAGTGTGCTTACCCACTCCATCCAGGGCCTATAACCCACTCTCTCCTCCTTCAGCCTGAGCCCATACTGTGGATGACAGTGAAAAGGTGGGTGAGTGGAAGATGCAACCAAAGGGGCCTCATGCTGTTGCCCAGGCAGGCTAGAGAAAGAGGGAGCAAACAGCCACCCTTTCCTAAGGTGAAGTCGAGCAATAGGTTGGCGAAAGTGAGAAAAATGGTCTTTTCTTAGGTCTCAGTGCCCAGAACCCTTACCTTCCGCAGCACCATAACAATGCTGTAGGTACAGAGGAAGCAGGTGGGGTCTTTCTCATCCACGCCCAGAGCAGATTTCATGGTCAGCCAGGGCCCTCGTGCAAAATCCTCCTCCACTGATGCCTGGGAACTAGCAACAATCTGGTACCACAGAATAGAGGGGGAAGTGCATTAATGGGTCTGCCTTGCTACAGACCCTCGGAGGAGTGAGAGAGGAAAGACAAATTCCCTGGGAAAGACCAGAGCATGGTGGCCACAGTCTCCCGTTTTTTACCTCCAAGGTCAGAAAATGGTATGTGAAATCTTGCTGCGTGTCTTATCTTTCATTGAGCAGCTACAACAAAGGAGTTTTTTTTTTTTTTAAATCAAATCCTGACTTTAATTACACTGAAGCAAAAGGCTATTCATGCTTGTCTCTTGCAATAAACTCAAAAAGCCTTTGTGGTAGGAGGGATTCCCCACATACATTTCTAGGCTTCCAGGTATTTTGAAACCAGTCATATTTTATTTGGGATGCCTCTGGCTTTAACCAATAACCTTCACATATATATATATTTATTTATTTATTTATTTATAGGCTTGGCGCCTGTGGCTCAGTGGCTAAGTCGCCAGCCACATACACCTAAGGTGTTGGGTTCAAATCTAGCCCCGGCCCACCAAATAACAATGATGGCTACAACCAAAAAATAGCCAGGTGTTGTGGCGGGCGCCTGTGGTCCCAGCTACTTGGGAGGTGGAGGCAGGAGAATTGCTTGAGCCCAGGAGTTGGAGGTTGCTGTGAGCTGTGATGCCACAGTACTCTACCCAGGGGGATAGCTTGAGGCTCTGTCTCAAAAAAATATAAAATAAAATAATAAATAAATATTTATTTATTTATAGACAGTCT